TTTGTACTAAGCAGAGATCTGGCAAGTCGAGAAATCTTTGTGGCCATATGCTTCAAAAGTAGTTGTTACAGTGATGGATCCTTTTATTAAAATTGAACCAGACGAAGAAGAAAAAATAAATTTGACCATAGAAAGAAAAATGTTTATAAATAATGATACTTTCGCAATTATAAAAGAAGAACAGACGATTACGACCAGTGTAGAATATTGTAGAGACAAGTGCAATGACGACAAAATGCAGCAACAATCTTTCTCGTCAGATATTAAATCTTCTACTGACAAATTTAAATGTAAAGTTTGTGGTGTCATGGTGGATAATGAACAAAATTTTAAAAGACACCATCTGTTAACACAGAACGATAAGAAAGATTTTAAATGTGACCTTTGTGATCATACCACAAACTGCAAGAACCGTTTGAAAAAACATCTCCCAACTCACAATTTTGTTTCTCATTTTTTTAGATGTGCAAATTGTAATTATGCAACAAATGTTAAAAAAGCTTTTACAGGACATGTCTTACAACACAGAACCTTTAAAGATTTTAAATGTGACATTTGTGAGTATGCAACAAATCGTAAAGGCAGTTTGAGGCAACATCTCTTAACACACAATAATGAAAAGAAAGATTTTAAATGTGAAATTTGCGATTATGCATCAAATCGTAAAGGCAGTTTGAAGCAGCACCTCTTAATACACAGTGAAAAGAAAGACTTTAAATGCAACATTTGTGATTATGCAACAAACAATAAAAACTCTTTAACATCCCATTTTCGAACACACAGTGGATGTAAAGATTTTAAATGTAACATTTGTGATTATGCAACAACCCACAAAAGCTCCTTAAGATCACATTTACGAACACATAATGGATCTAAAGATTTTAAATGTGACATTTGTAATTATGCAACAAACCACAAAAGCTCCTTAACATCACATCTTCGCAGGCACAATGGATTTAATAGTTTTAAATGTGACATTTGTAATTATGCAACAAACTATAAAAGCTCCTTAATATCACATTTTCGAATGCACAATGGATCTGAAGATTTTAAATGTGACATTTGTGGTTATGCAACAAACAATAAAAACTCCTTAACATCGCACCTTCTAAAACACGATGAATCTAATGCTTTTAAATGTGACATTTGCAATTATGCCATGGGCACTAAAGGTAATTTGAAAAGACATCTCTTAACTCACGATGATAAGAAATATTTTAAATGTGATATTTGCGATCATACCACAAACCGCAAAGACAGTCTGAAAACGCATCTACTAACCCACAATGCTACCCTTCTTTTTAAATGTGCAAATTGCGATTATGCAACAAATGTTAAGAGAGGCTTGAAAGAACACGTCTTACAACACCGAACCTTTAAAGATTTTAAATGTGACATTTGTGATTATGCAACAAACCATAAAAGCTCCTTAACATCACATCTTCTAAAACACATGGGATCTAAAGTTTTTAAATGTGACATTTGTGATTTTGCAACTAACTATAAAAGGTCATTAACATTACATCTTCTAAAACATACTGGATTTAAATGTGATCTTTGCGATTATGAAACAAATCGTAAGTGCCAATTGAAAAAACATCTTTTAACACATAACCAGTCTTGAATGTAACTTTTGTGATTATGCCATTTGTACTAAAGGTAATTTGTAATATTGCACGTAACATCTAGATCAAGGCAATAACCTTCATATCGCGTATGTGCACATGGTTTGTGGGTACATTTTAAGTTTGCCTCATCTTGTATATTCCATGTGTCTAAAGTACGTTAATAACTGTGCCTAACTGTACTGTGCATGTATAAAATACTAATAGCGTTTTCGATTGGCAAAACTCGTACTGCACGAGTGTTGCACGAGAAACTGAAGAAATCCATGTGAAAATTGCTCTCAATGGAACATAAATATTCGTAAATATTTGCTGTCATTTGTCCATAACCTCATTTTAGATTTGTATTTATACAATGATTTAGGTAATCGACAAATCTGTATTCTAAAAAATGACTGAAACGATTTCACTATTATTTATGATAAACAATGAGGAATATAAATTTGAAATTCCTGTAAAGAACCAATTTTTGGCGTTCACTTTAAAGAGTAAATGCAACTTTTTGTAAAGTAGAAGTTATATGGCTAGTTCATCATCTTCGCTATCGCTAGATGACAACAAAAAACTCTCCAACGCAAGAAACAAATTCAAATTGGCGCACTTTTATTTTGAAAATTTGCTCCACGGGCTCTCCGACCTCGTGCGTCAAAATTTGCATTTAGTGCGTAATTGTTGCATTACATTTGCCAATGGAACACAGAAAATTGGCCTAAAATTACCAATAGAACGTAAAAATTGCACTCGTGCAGCACGAGTTTTGCCAATCGAAAACGCTATAATTCTAATGGAATTAAACTAGGTAACAATATGCACACATTTTGTCACTATAAACGGTATAATAAAAAATCGTTCCAATCTAAACGGTTAGATTTTTGTTATCTATTCTTCATAGCGTTTTAGTACCAAATCCAAATTTAAATAATTTAATGACCACCCTGTATTTAGAGTGTCAAGTAATAAGAATTTGAGGTTATGCTTATGCTGTTATGCTTTTATAAAACAAATGATAGTATTTAGGCTGGGCCATTAGCAATTTATGTTCAAAGCATTAAATTTGTCGAGGTATTCCAGTGTTTGTGATCGTATAACTTAAAATAGTTCTTATAGATAGTCATGAATGAGAGCATTGTGAAAATTGAACCAGAACAAGAAGAAGAATTAAATTTGTCCCTAGAAAAAAACATGGTTTTAAGTAATGTAATTGTAAAAGAGGAACTAAATACTACTACCAGTAGAGAATATTGTAGAGACCAGTGCAACAGTGACGAAATGCAGCTACCACATTATTCGTCGGATACTGTAAAAGTCTTTAAATGGGCCTACGAATCAAACGTAAAGAAATGTTTGAAAGAACATGGCTTACAACACACGTCTTTTGAAGAGGTGAAATGTGACATTTGTAATTACACAACATATCGTAAGGGCGATTTGAAGCAACATCTCTTAACACACAAACTTTCTGAAGGTTTTAAGTGTGACGTTTGTGATTATGTCACGAATAGTAAAGCTAATTTGAGGAGACATGCCTTAATACACAATCGATCTCAAAATTTTAAATGTGAAACTTGTGATTATACCACATATGTGAAACACTATTTGAAAAAACATGTCTTAAAACACAAAGCTTCTAAAGATTTTGAATGTGCGGTTTGTGGCTTTGCCACGAGTGTAAAGGGCAATTTGACAAAACATTTCGTGATACACAAGCAATGTAAGGATTTTAAATGTGACATTTGTGATTACGCAACATATCGCAAAGGCGATTTGCAGCACCATCTCTTAAAACACAAAGCTTCTAAAGATTTTAAGTGTGCCGTTTGTGATTATGCCACATGTAGTAAAAGTAATTTGAGAAGACATGTCTTAATACACAATCGATCCAAAGATTTTAAATGTAACTTTTGTGATTATGCAGCATATTGTAAAGACAATTTGAGTAAACATATCTTAATGCACAATCGACCTAAAGATTTTAAATGTGTAATTTGTGATTATGCCACATACAGAAAAGTCAATTTGAAACAACATATCATAAAGCACAATCAGTCAGAATATTTTAAATGTAACTTTTGCGATTATGTCACATTTAGTAAAGACAATTTCAGAAAACATTTTGTCATACACAAACGATCTAAAGATTTTAAATGTGACATCTGTGATTACTCAACATACCGTAAAGGCGACTTAAACAATCATCTCTTAAGACACAAAGTTACTAAAGATTTTAAATGTGATGTTTGTTATTATGCCACCTATAGTAAAAGCAATTTTAGAAGACATGTCTTAATACACAATCGATGTAAAGAATTTAAATGTGGAATTTGTGATTATGCCACGTATAGAAAGGACACTTTGAAACAACATATCTTAAAACACAATCAATCTAAATATTTTAAATGTAACATTTGTGATTATTATACCAATAGAGCAGGCGATCTGAGAAAACATGTCTTAATACACAATTGATCTACAGATTTTTAATGTGACATTTGTGATTATGCGAATGAAGTTCGAAAATACATCTGTTTATACACAAATGACTTTAAAAATTATATGTACTTACATAAGATCATTATGTAATAAAGTTTGTATAAGCCTATACTAAACATTTCTTATAATGCATCTAATTAGTAGAAGGAAAAGGAAATACCAAGGAAAGTACTGAGAGTTCCACCCTGTAAATACAACTTACGACGATACATATATTTTTGAGAGTTGGCAACCATGCAATTTCTAGGTGGGGAAAAGCTGCCTGCGCCATCTTAAAAGCACGGACGGGGGTTACGTTGGGCATCTTGTCTTGAATGGCGGTCGTGAACGCGTCGCTCCATAAATGTTTGTTATTATTTTGTGGATTTTTAATGCAGGTAGTAATCTTTGCATTTTGTTTATATCGTATTTGTGTTTCATATGCCGCATTTTATACTTTTTGTATGTTTCAATCTTTGTTTTTGAAATTTACTTGGTTTAACCGCAATACAGAATCACATATTTGATACCGTTATGCTATTGTTTGTAATTGTTTACGTTTTTGGTATAATGCTTACTTAATTTATGTTTATTGATGTTAATTACTTCGTCTTGTCCCTGAAATAACATTCATATAAGTTTTAATCATTGGATTTTAATATGTGGAAATTACCGATTCGTTTGATGTATGTACTGACTTATTGTTTGTTACTAACATTTTTCTCCCTGTAACCATTTGAAGTACGACACCTAATTCCATGATTGTCTTCGACATTCAACTGTAGGCTCGAAACCCCGAAACCAGGGGCGGGCTACCTATCTTGCCGGAGCGCGATAAATTTTGTGGTGTAGTCGATTTACCTCACTTTAACTCGAAGCTTAATGACCGCTCTGTACTTACGGTGTCACGGAGTAAGCATTTAAGGTTATGTTCAAAAATAACAGATTCTTGCTAAATCGACCTACAGCCTAAACTATGATAGTATTTACGCTGTGCTATTAGTGATTTATTTTAAAGCCATAGCATTCGTCGTACAGGTAACCCAATTTTTGTGGTCGTATAGCTTAAAATAGTTCTTGTAGATAGTCATGGATGAGGGCATTGTTAAAGTTGAACCAGAACAAGAAGAAGAAATAAAGTTGTCCCTAGAAAGAAACACAGTTTTAAGTAATGATGTTAAGGTAATTGTAAAAGAAGAACAGAATTCTACAACCAGTGCAGCATATTGTAGCGACCAGTGCAATGGCGACGAAATGCAGCAACATTATTCGTCAGATATTAAATCTCAATTTAAATGCGAAGCAGGTAATGAGCAACAATTTAAAAGTCACCATTTCGAACGGGAAACTGCCAAAGGTTTTAAATGTGACCTTTGTGATTACACAACATGTCGTAAAGGCGATTTGAAAAAACATGTTGTGATACACAATCGGTCTAAAGAATTTAAATGTGTAATTTGTGATTATGCCACATGTAGAAAAGAGAATTTGAAACAACACATCCTAAAACATAGCCCATCTACATATTTTAAATGTGACATTTGCCAGTATACAACGTATAGTAAAGGCAATTTGAGGAAACACGTGGCAATACACAATCGATCTAAATATTTTAAATGTCGCTTTTGTGATTATGCCACGTATAGAAAGAACAATTTGAAGCATCATATCATAAAACACAATCAATCAAAATATGTTAAATGTGACATTTGCGATTATGCCACATATAGTAAAGACAATTTGAGGAAACATGTCTTAACACACAATCGATGTAAAGATTTCAAATGTGCAATTTGTGATTACGCAGCATATCGTATGGGCGATTTGAAGCAGCATCTCTTAAAACACCGAGTTTCCAAAGATTTTAAATGTGATGTTTGTTATTATGCCACATACAGTAAAGGCAATTTGAGTAGTCATGTCTTAATACACAATCGACCAGAAGTTTTTAAATGTGGATTGTGTCATCATGCCACATACAGAAAAGGTAATTTGAAAAAACATATGTTAATACACAATCAATCTAGTGATTTTAAATGTGACCTTTGTGATTATACCTCATATAGAAAAGACTATTTGAGAAAGCATGTCTTAAGACACAATCAATGTAGTGATTTTAAATGTGACCTTTGTGATTATACGACATATAGCAAAGACTATTTGAGAAAACATGTCTTAATACACACTCGATCTAAAGGTTTTAAATGTGACGCGTGTGATTTCGCCACACATTTTCAAAGCAACTTGAAAAGACATCTCTTAGTGCACAAATGAATTTAAATACCTATCAAGTGAATTTATGTAATAAAGTGTATAAAACCCTATACGCAACATTCTGTATCTCATCCATTTAAGTGTGTTTAGGTCAAGTTAAGAAGATCCTAAGGATTAGGAAGTCTAAGATTCGATTCGATTATATACAGTGATAATTATTAAGAAGTAGACATAGGGATTTACGTGTATTGTTTTTCCCTATGTCTACTTCTGAAGGTGTCTAATTTTATGCGTAACTTCTTAAAAAAAAGCTAAGGCAACAATATTCAAATTAAGTAAATAATATGACGGCCAGATCTTTATTTGGAATTGGATTTATCATTTTAAAGTAGATGTAAATCCCTATGTCTACTTCTTAATAAATATTACTGTATATTATTGTTCCCAAAGAGAGTGGTTAGATTGGTATTCAAGTCTGTAATAAGAAGTTAAGGTAACAGATGTAAGAGCATGATAGTAGTAATATGTATGTAGAAGTTTCAAAAATAATAAAATGTTATAGAAAGTATTGTTGAAAGAAGCTTTCTTCTACAATGGTTTCCCATTATAGAACATGTCAATAACATTTCGTCTTTGAGAAACCATCATCAACTTCATATTTTTATATGATAACGGATGTTACAAATTTTACTTCTACTTTCGGGAGTTGTTCTTAGTATACAATTACATTGGTATGCCTCAGCTGCTCATCGGTTAATAACCCTCTTATGGCCTCAAGGATAAGGTAAAGGGATAAATAATAACTCAATAATCCTTAAGTTTGTATTGGTGCTTATTTTCTTAAAATATCGCCCTTTTGCTGTAAGGGAACACATTTTAGTAAATGGGGGTTTGAGGCGAAACAATCCTGTAAGGCAAATGGTTAAACCACATTACTTCGCATTGAGAAGCAGCCGCATTTTAGACATTTAAATATAAACAAGTTTACCAGTTTTTCTAAGAAAACACGTTATAGGTTTCTATGCCCATACATTCTCATAATGTTCATAGGTTATGCTTACATAGAATTCGGTTATGTAACTTATGTTTCGAGCGTGTCTAATAGTTTAATCTGGTTCTAAAGAAATTGACGGCTGACAGGGTAGTGATAGATACGTGATCGTAAAAATGTGCAATATTGGTAGACACGGTTAATCAAGCTGGAACCTCACAAGGTAATATCTTTTCATTTATTATTGATTAATTGAATTCAATACATAAAAATTTCCACGCGCTCTTTATGATTCACAAAACTTGCGTGTGGCCTGGAAACAAATTCATCTCCCGTCAAGGGAAATGCAGTGCGTAATTCAAAGACATGATTTAGTTAGAACTTTGTAGTATACTTAACCCCTAGGTTCTACGCTAACTTCACACTACAAGAACACGAAAATAAAGTCAACCCGGCAACGTTTAAAAATGGCCACCCGAATGACTATTCCCTCCAAAACTAAACAAAATCCCGCTTAAATTTGAAAAGTGGCACGTGATCAAACATCTAAGGCAGGACCCCCTTACGTTAGTTGTAGACAACTCTTTGACCTGAAGCACAGTAGGGAAGGAACGTAAAATTGTGAAAAGTTTGTTTAATAATGATCGCAATTATTATTGATTGTAAAAGCTCGGAAATTTAAGTCCAAAGTAAATTACCTTGTAAAAATAAACTTTGAAAATAGTAGTACACTGAATCAAAATAGAAATAGGCTGGGAAAAAAAAGAACTTACCAATAAAAAAACCAGCCGTCAAATTAATATCAAATTGTGTTGTAAAATTAATTGTTTGTAATAATGTGAATGCGTACCTAACATAAAATTATAACATCATAAAAAGTAGCAGGTAAACTTCAAGAGGTAACATTTAGGTTAAAAACAAGTTTTGGGAATCATGGGTCAGGTAAGCAGGTACCAGGATTCTCAGAGAGGGTGAAATACACAGAATGTGACTCATCTTTGGTGCAATAAAGTCCTTTTGTTAAAAACAAGATGGAAAATTACATGGCCTTGTAGGCAAATTTAACTAAAAACAAGATATGTGGAAATTATTGAATCGCCACTCATTTATCGCACATAGATTCTAAACTGAAGAGCTTTGATTAGCGTAATCCCGCTCCTGCAAGATAGGTAACCCGCCCCTGGTTTCGGGGTTTCGAGCCTACAGTTGAATGTCGAAGATAATCACGGAATTAGGTGTCGTAGCTCAATTTTGACTACAGTGTTTACCACCCCCGTGACTGCTTCATTCACGGAGAAAAATGTCAGTAACGAACATCAAACGAATCGGTAACTTCCATATATTAAAATAAAATGATCAAAACTTATAATATGAATGTTACTTCACGGAGAAGACCAAGTAATCAACATCAATAAACATAAATTAAGCAAGCATTACACCAAAAACGTAAACAATTACAAACAATAGCATAACGGTATCACATATGTGATTATGAATTGCGGTTAAACGAAGTAAATTTCAAAAACAAAGAATCAAATACACACAAAAATAAAATGCGGCATACAAAACACAAATACGATATAAAGAAATGCAAAAAGTACTACCTGCATTAAATAACACAAAATAACAACAAACATTTATGGAGCGACGCGTTCACGACCGCCATTCAAGACATGATGATCAACGTAACCTCCGTTTGTGCTTTTTAGATGGCGCAGGCAGCTTTTTCCCACCTAGAAATTGCATGGTTGTCAACTCTCAAAAATGTACCTATGTATCGTCGCAAGTTGTATATACAGGGTGGAACCTTTCAGGGTTAAGCGGTAGAACAGATTGTAGTTTGCACTACATATCTGAACTACGCCCTTTTGGTATAACGTGATAAATTTAGTTTAATATTCACTATATATAATATATATTATATATATATATATATATATATATATATATATATATATATGACATTATTATTATTATAAAAATCGCCACTGACGTATTCAATGTGCCGGAAACGAATTGGCGCTAGCTAAACAACTTGATAACTTAAAATTAATATATTTAACTCAGTTAGAAGATTTCCGTAACTTAATATTAAATTTAAATTGAGAGCTTATTACCTTCTCCCGAGCCCATACACGAATGTTGACTATAGTGGCAGATTTCAAAACCGGTTAAAAAACGAAAAAATGGTCTTTAAAGAAACGTTCCATACTGAATACAAATAGAAAAATATTTTACCTTATTCATATGGCGTCTACCCCTTGAGCCGTCCAACCTTGGAAAACTGGATCGTCTTCTATTTAGGATTCATGGAATGAAACCAGTTAGATCCCAAGGAATGCTCGATGTTGCGTAATCCAAAAGTATTAATTGCATGCAAAGTTGTTTACAGCGCATGAGTAACGATGAGATTTATCTTTTTCGAAATTCTAAAGGGGTTGGAATGGGGGTTTACAGTATAGTTGAATTCCGCAGTTCTAATTTAATAAGCGTGTACCTGAAACCATAAAACATTTTTTTGGACAGTAAAAGTTTATTTAAAAATAGAGGCTGATTAGCAAAAAAATAATGAACATGTGCGGTTTTAAACGTTTATTCAAAACGATATGATTGTGGCGAGCTCTGTGACGTAATAAGCCCGACCAATCAGCTTCTGGAACCATTCAGATGACATAACGACTTGGCAATATTGCAGGAGAATGGCATTTGTAACTTGCGTCATCTGTCACAGGCACTTGTCACTTTCGTGCTAGATGCAGTTAAACATCCCTCTCAAAACGTCAAATGTGACAAACGTCAGACCCTCGCGTAAGGTTGCCAGCTCACTTCTACGTGATTGGTTGTAGGTTTGTGGCGTATTTAGTCTGAAGCGTTTCAAATTCGGACTAAAAACACAGCTTTTCAATAATTTATTTTGGGTTTATTTTACTCGCAAATAAAAATTGAGGACACGGGTCTTTTTATTTTTAATGTACTTTGTGGATCAGAAATAAAAAATGAAGGCGGGATGACCCCATTGAATTCCATTAGGGTAGCTAGGTATCGGGTTAAGGTGGGTTCATAGCTCTCCGTTCATCCGTTGCGTTGATCCGTCAAACGGATAGTACATTTTATTAAGGTTCATAGCAATCCGTCCACATTGTACATTTGCAAGTATAACCATAACCTAAACTTTATTTTGTACTGTACCCTCCGTGATTTTCAGTATGTGAAAATGGTATGAAAGTAAGAACACATTGCTATCTGATTATTACTGTGAAGAACGAATAGGCGAACGCTGTTAACATACCAAACATAACCTCACTCTTGTTAAAAACGGACCAACGGAAACGTAAATGTTCAACTTCAACCAACTTTTCCGTCGTAAACGGACGACGTACGTTTAAAAATTTGCTGTCTTCTGATTGGCTAACGGACAAACGGAAACGTATGAACGGAGAGCTATGAACTTACCTTATTAATCTATTAGATAGGAGATAGGAAATCTGGAGCATGAGAGGTAACTTTGGAAAACGCTAATCACATCTACCATATACAAAGACTAATAATCCAAGTATTTAACCTTTGAATTTGAATAATTGAAATCTAAGGTTAATGTAATACAAAACTTTATAAGTTAAAGAATGACCATCACAACTAAATTTAAAAGCGCCTTCAATCCTTTCCCATAAAGTACATATAAAATGCATTATTAATTAGCCGGACCTCCTCTAATCCGGCATGTATCTGAAAGTCCTGGATACGGTGGTAACCATAGACTAACTTCGGCATCTACATCTGCAAGGGCGAAAAGGTTTAATTACACTCAAAAAAGGTAGAATACTTTCGAGTAGTGTCTTTCTATATGACAACGGTACTTGTCACTTGAACGGTGTCTCGATATACGCCAACGGCACTTCTTGTTTGGAATTTGAAATGAGATATCTCACGCAGGTGCACCGAATGCACGAGCGTTATCATACCGATCAGTCGCTTCGTCCCCGAGGACGGCATGATTGCTGAACTTTCACTGGAGGGGTAGCAGAAAACAAAATTCCGTGAAATGGGATACTAATGAGCTTTACTTCGCAGGCAGCTTTTCCCCACCTAGAAATTGCATGGTTGCCAACTCTCAAAAATGTGTGCATCGTCGTAACGTAAGTTGCATATACAGGGTGGAACCTCTCACCTTAAAAAATAATTCCACCTAAGTAGTACGGAACCGGAATCTATAATTCATATGTGTTCCAGCCTTTGCTCACTGCTGTTATCCAATAAAGCGATTAATTAAATTAAATTAAAGTAGAAAAAATTAATTCGTCCCTCGATTTATTCTAAAACCTCACTATTTACTCGACTAACCTAGGACAGTACATGGAATTGAAATCCTTAGTGTACACCTAAGTCTAACTTTGAGAGGTTTCACCATGTACATACAACTTACGACAATACATACATTTTTGAGAGTTGGCAACCATGCAATTTCTAGGTGGGAAAAAGCTGCCTGCGCCATCTAAAATGCACGAACGGGGGTTACGTTTGGAATCTTGTATTTCACCCTTTCTTAGAATCTTGGTACCTGCTTACCTAACCCATAATTCCCAAAACTTGTTACCTCTTGAAGTTTACCTGCTACTTTTTGTGATGTTATAATTTTATGTTACGCATTCACATCATTACAAACAATTAATTTTACAACAAAATTTGATATTAATTTAACGGATGATTTTTTATTGGTAAGTTCTTTTTTTCCCAGCCTATTTCTATTTTTTTTCGGTGAACTACCATTTTCAAAGTTTATTTTTGCAATTTAATTTATTTTGGTGTTAAATTTCTGAGCTTTTACAATCTTAATAATTGCGATCATTATTAAACAAACTTTTCACAATTTCAATGTTTTATTTAACGTTCCTTCCCTACTGTGCTTCAGGTCATAGTGTTGTTTACAACTAACCTGTCTTAGATGTTTGATCACGTGCCACTTGTCAAAATTAAGCGGGATCTTGTTTAGTTTTGGAGGGAATAGTCATTCGGGTGGCCATTTTTAAACGTTGCCAGGTTGACTTTATTTCCGTGTTCTTGTAGTGTGAAGTTAGCGTAGAACCTGGGGGTTAAGCAATGAATAAAGAATACCAGGAAGGAGAATATCAACAATTTACGCGAGACCGCGATGGCTTTTGCAAATGGCGGGCAGTAGTTTCCTGTTCCAGTGGCGTACCTACCTTACAGTTGTAGAAGGATACAATTATAAAGAATTTTACACGAAAACTATGTAAATCCCCATGTGTCTACTCCGCCTATGACTTTTGTTTAACTAACCTCAAACTACATTCCGATAAAAAATTTGTAAATTTACATGTACTATATAAAAATAATATTGGTATCAATACTTACACATGAAATGTAATTCCCAAACTTTTAATTTTTTTCCGTTTTGAGCAACCACAAGCACAACAACTAACCATTATTTTATGTCACTGCAAAAACCACAACAAAAATGAGTCATAAGTGGCTTTTGCAAATGGCCGACTTCCGTCCCACTCTGTCTTGTATACAACCTGAGTATGCTCCTTCCTGGTATTCTTTATTCATTGGCGACACTAAGCAGAACTGCGGATAACCCTCGAGATAACCTTTTCAAGGAACCATTAACAAAACATAGATAGCGAGGACTGTACGATTTCCGACGACAGTGTCGCCATCTGTTCCTAGTACACGGAACACTTTTGGAGAAACTGACGAATTACGCATGATATTTTCTCGTATTATGTTTATTCGTGATCCAACTACGAAATTTCCCAAGATGTTTGTTTAATAGGGCAAGCAAAAATTGACCTCTAGCTTTACGGCGATAAGATTATCGTATCGGTTCGATAATTACATTGGCGATTGCTCGTTCGCGAGGAATCTTTCGTCAGTGGTAAATTAGTCGGCGACTAAAGGCGAAAATGTTATTATTCTTCCGGTTGGTTTTCGTGATATGCACCGTGTATTCGGTAAGTTTCCATTGGACGGGCGGTGTCTCTTACCGCGCCGCTTTTTAGATTACGATTCCCGAAGATAAATCTGGGACCAAAAAGAAACTGTCCACGCCCGGAATTAAGACGATTCAATGGCAGGAACAGGAGCAGCAGGTCCCGCAGGCTGGGAAGCACGATTTGTTTCAGATAATTGAAGCGGAGCACACGCACCAACAGGAAGTGGAGCAGTTCGAGCAGGAGTTTGCGTCGAGTAATGTGGCGCAACAGAGCGTGCACCCGAAACAACCCGAGGCGTACTCAAAGTGTCCCAAGTTGTTGACGGGGCCCGTGCCATTTGCGTCCTCTTGCAGCCAGTTTTTAAACTGCTACAAGGGGCGGGGGTTCGTGCAGAACTGCGCTCCTGGCACCCTTTTCAACGCGTACACGCTCGAATGCGATTACGCGTCGAAAGTCGAATGCCTTTACGAACCGGAAGACGATTACACCCAGCAAACCCTTACGAAGCTCAAGCTGAAAACGGGCTGCCCCGCTGGATTCTCCGGCATTGTACCCCATCACTACGACTGCGCCAAGTTTATCAACTGCGACAATGGTAAAGAGATTGTGATGAATTGCGGCCCAGGTACGCTGTTCAACTTGAAGATCAACAGTTGCGACTTCCCCTACAACGCGGAGTGCGCCAGCTGGAGCAGCCAGTTCGAACCAAACCAGGAGACACACGAGGAACTCCATTCCGATTACCAAAGGCCCCCGCCCGTCTACACTCATTACGAACACAAACCCAAATGTCCAAAGGACGTGGTCGGGCTCCACCCCCACCCCACCGATTGCTCGAAATTTTTGAATTGCGCCAATGGGCAAACGTTCATTCAGGATTGCGGACCGGGTACGGTCTTCAACCCAAATCTAAAGGTCTGCGACTTCCCCTATAACGTCGACTGCGAAACGCATGAGGAATACCGCCCTGACATTGACGTTAGAAACGAACAGAAGGGCGCCGAGAGTACACGAGAGGAAACTCTGATCTGCCCCCCTAACGCGTACGGCCTGTACCCATATCCTCACGTGTGCTTTAAGTTTATCAGTTGCGTTGACGGGGAGACGACCATTCTCGCGTGTCCCAAGGGCCTGGTTTTCAATATAGCGACGAGAGAGTGCGACTACACCTACAACGTGGACTGTTCCAGAAAAGGAATGACGAATGTTTGGGCCATCGGTAAGTTAGGTTAGTCTGGTAGACGCGTCGTTTGGCATTATAAATTGCAGGCCAGCAACAGAAATGGAATCAGCAAGGCAACGCCCAAGGAACTACTGATCAAGGGTATAATCAATGGAATCAAGGTGGTTTTAACCAAAATACTGATCAGTGGAATTACGGAAAACCAGGGGGTCAACAACAGACTGCGGGTCAAGGTGGTTATAATCAAATTGGAGACAATTCTCAACAAAGCACAGATCAAGTGTTTAATCAATGGAACCAGAAACCTACAGGTCACGGACAAACCACTGATCAAGGATACAATCAGTGGAATCAGAAACCTACAACTAACGGAAAACCAGGGGGTCAACAACAGGCTACGGGTCAAGGGGGTTATAATCAAATTGAAGAAAATTCCCAACAAAGTACAAATCAAGGGTTTAATCAATGGAACCAAAAACCTACAGGTCACGGACAAACCACTGATCAAGGATACAACCAGTGGAATCAGAAACCTACAACTAACGCAAAACCAGGGGGTCAACAACAGGCTACGGGTCAAGGGGGTTATAATCAAATTGAAGAAAATTCCCAACAAAGTACAAATCAAGGGTTTAATCAATGGAACCAAAAACCTACAGGTCACGGGCAAACCACTGATCATGGATACAACCAGTGGAATCAGAAACCTACAACTAACGCAAAACCAGGGGGTCAACAACAGGCTACGGGTCAAGGGGGTTATAATCAAATTGAAGAAAATTCCCAACAAAGTACAAATCAAGGGTTTAATCAATGGAACCAAAAACCTACAGGTCACGGGCAAACCACTGATCATGGATACAACCAGTGGAATCAGAAACCGACAACTAACGGAAAACCAGGGGCTCAACAACAAACTACGGGTCAAGGTGGTTACAATTACAATCAAAATGTGGACAAGACCCAACAAAGCACAGATGAAGGGTTTAATCAATGGAACCAAAAACCTACAGGTCACGGACAAACCACTGATCAAGGATACAACCAGTGGAATCAGAAACCTACAGCTAACGGAAAACCAGGGGGTCAACAACAGACTACGGGTCAAGGTGGTTACAATCAAAATGTGGACAAGACTCAAGAAAGCACAGATCAAGGGTTCAATCGATGGAACCAAAAACCTACAGGTCACGGACAAACCACTGATCAAGGATACAACCAGTGGAATCAGAAGCCTACAACTAACGGAAAACCAGGGGGTCAACAACAGACTACGGGTCAAGGTGGTTATAACCAATTTGGAGGCAATTCCCAACAAAGTACAAATCAAGGGTTCAATCAATGGAACCAACAAAATACCGGCCAGAGTCAGAGACCAAATTCCGGACAGGTCAAAGGCCAAAAAAACCAAAAGCTGAAGCAAGACAATCAGAACGAAATCGACGGTTCAAAACCGCAACCCCCGAAGCCTTTCGTCAATTTCAAATTTAAGGACACCTGCTCGATCTTGGACTTCTACTGTACGCCGACCCAGTGCATACCGAAGGGCATGCATTGCGACGGCGTCGTCGACTGCCCGAACGGCGACGATGAGAAGGACTGCGACTCGATGCTCAATCAGTTCGCGGCGATTCCCAATCACATTCTGGCGGTGCGCGAGAAGGAGAAGTTCTACAACGTTAGCATGTTGAACTGCGCGCGCAGCTGTCTCGACAGCAAGGGGTTCCAGTGCAGGTCCTTCTCCTACAGGTAACCCAACGAGCGGGAGTGCAAATGCGCTGAAAGTCTTATTGTAGGAGAGACGACGGGTGTTGTTTTCTGAGCGACGGCAACGTCGGTACGACCGGCGCCCTCATTCTTTCCTACGCGTACGACTACTTCGAGATGAACGCGCTCTCGATGAACTGCAGTAACCTCCACGTGTGCCCGAACAAGAAGTGCATCGCGAACAAGCAGATTTGCGACGGTGTCAACGACTGCGGGGATCGTACCGACGAGAAGGGTTGCAGCGCCAAGGCGTTCGGTTACGAAGTCAGGCTCGCCAACGGAAAGACGAAAGACGAAGGAAGATTGGAAATTAAAGGTAGGTATTGGACGGAGTGTAAGCGGAAAATTAAAATACACACTTGCTTTTTGAGCAAATGCCCTAAAAAAACTGGTTGCCGTTACAGTACCCCCTTCAAATCGTAAAATTAGAACGCGTGCACTGTTTCCGAGGTAGCTTATTGTTTCGTTGTTCCAGACAAAAAATGCAGGTAAGCAAAAGATGTTGGCCTACTGTTGGTTTAAAGGGGACGTCGGTCGCAGAAATTCCGTTGGTCCCGTTTTGCTTTAATATAAATAGCAAAGTGCAAACAAGAAAGATTACGAGTAGCAACTGTGAAAGTGTAAAGATGATCGCGAATCTAATGGCTGCAAAAGCAGAATTATTTTAAAAAGTAAACTAGCTGGTCGGCGAATTTAATCCTTTTTTATTGCGCCTTCATGACCTAGCGCTGAATGCATCTCTCGGCTTAATCCACACTTTTTCCATGTTTGCAGCTACACCGTCAAAATGTTGCTAAACGGTTTCAGCAGCAATCATTATTCGTCGTACCACTAAATTTCTTTTCTCACGTTTAGTGTCATTATTCAGAAACTTCCGTGGTTAAAAAACCATTAGTTTTCATGCTACATCACGAAACGGATCGAACCCATCAGAAATTGACACGTATAAGCCATTAATTTTGGTTTATCTTCCGCCAGACTGGCGCAACCAACTTTTTATGGTACAAAGCAAAATTCGAGAATTTCGTCAATAACTCCACTTTGAGCCGCAGCGATTACACCAAATTTTCACACGCCCCACGAATTCCGACGGGGCGACTTTTCCGATGCACGGCTACGCCCGGAAAATTCGCTTTCACCCCCTCTGCGGCCACCCCCGAAGGTCGGGCTTCCGAAAAAAACATTCGCAGAGGGTAACTCGTCGAACTTTAAGAATCGTGGCCGCGGATAGGAGGGGAAGGGAGGTCGGGGCTTTCGAACGGCGCGGTCGCAGAAGTCGTGACACCTTGAAGGTGTCCCAGACGGCCATTAAATTTCGCTGTCTAAAAGGGGGGGGGGGGCCCCGAATTATTTCCTGAGATGCTGTTTTTGAAAGTAAAATGTGCATAACTTTTACATACGACAACCAATTGGTCTCAGATTTTGCATACGCACGCCTTTAGTGGTGCGAAGTTAAACTTTAGGAAATGGGGAAGGGGGGGGGGTAAACACATGTTCTATCTACCCTTCATGGTATTCTAATGAAAGGTCTCATCGAAATAAATTGATTTGTACAAACTATAACTTTCTCGTGCGACTCTATTTCGAGATCAATGAGCGACGGGGCCTGAGGGGGGGGGGGTTAATGTTATCTCTCATTGTATTCTAATTAAGGTCTCAACGAAAGGAACCGTT